TGCTGCCCTCGACCGAGGTGTCGGGTTCGGAGGACGCTTTTCAGCAACCCAGGCAAATTACTGCACGTCCGGCCCGTTTCACTCCTCTCCACGCGGCGGCCGCCAATCGCCTTACCCGCCCGCGTGAAAACACTGCAGCTTGTGTTGCCGGTTCGTCGATCTTCGCCCCACTCTTCGCCGACCTTCTGCAGTCGGCCTCGGCCGGCCGCATCCCGGTGCAGTCCACCTCTTCGTTTCCGGTCTTCGCATGGTCGCTGAGGTCCAGAAGTGCAGCCCGTCCACGCTGCGGTTCGGACTGTCCGCAAGACTGCACTTCCGAAATCTCCTGGTCTTGGCCGATGACAGCCGCGCTGACCATCGACACGACGTAGTCGCTCAAATCAGCTCCATCGAACTCCTTCTCTCCGTCGTAAATGACTCTGGTTTCGGTTTCTGTAGAGTATAGTTGTTCAATTTTTGTCATTAGAGCTGCCACAACGTCCATCACGGAAACGTTAAAATAGTCCCGGAGAATCTCTTCATCGTACTCTCGCTGCATAATGGTGTGGAAAACTGTACTTAGTTGTTAGGTTTTTTTTTGATTTTTTATGCGTACCTTACGCACGGTGTAGAAAAATTATTAAACAATAAGACAATATAAAAATAAAATCATAAGTTGATCATTGTATATATTATTTATGTGAAAATTACTATAATATTCGAGAGATGTTTCGTCGCGAAATATAAACTGATTCAAAATGTGTAATCGGTCGTACGCATAAACATCCAAACGAAAATCTCCATGACAACAAAATAATATTATACTGTTCAAAATTGAAAATATATTATACGGCCAATTTATTTACAAAGACATTACATATTATGTACATTTCAACATATTATTCATGTTAACACTAATACTTGTATACCTAATTGTAATGTAATAATTGGAATACCTACCTTTACAATATATATAGCTTTATATACCTATTAATAAAACACCTATATTGCACGTCACAATAATTTGTTTCTTATCTCAAGAAATAATTTTCATCCAAATATTTGAGGATTTAAAATGATGTCATTAGTTTACTCTAATATGGAATTCAGACTTATAATTCGTTTATTGACACTCGATCGAGACATCGAGTACCAGTCAGCTTGGAACATAGGTACTTACTCAAGGCAATTTTCAAAATATTTATATTCATTCTATGCTATTTGCATACCACAAACCTATTCACACCGTATTCACTATAAATTGACTAGGTAGGTAATAATAACATCTAGTAATATTGTATAAAATAATATTATGATTTTAGATTTATAATCTATATAAATAAATGTATATAAATTAATTGATGTTTGTTAGTTTCCCTAAAACTCGAGAACGGCCTGACCGATTTGGCTAATTTTGGTCTTGAATTATTTGAGGAAGTCCAGAGAAGGTTTATAAGGTGAATAAATATCAATGTTTTATTATTTTTTACATTTTCTATATATACATATATATATATATATATATATAAATGGAGCGTGAAAAATTGTCATTACCTCATCAATCGAGAACGGCTGCTCCGATTTGGCTCAAATTTTTGTAAGATGTTCGTAATCGCCAGTAGAAGGTTTTAAAGAAAGAACATCTTAAGAAAATCCACCGGAAAAGTAGGAAATCTGGATGTAAAAATACAACAGTGGCTCAACAGTGTATTATAATATATTATTGGTTGCTATATGGTTAATCGGGCATGTTTGTTGATTTGTATTATTATTTTTTGTCGATATATAATATATAAATTAATGTTTCTGTGTAGATAGACCTCTGGGAAGAAGACAGGCTATAATTTAAACATTTAAACATGTTTCAATTTGTTTTTTTTTTATTCGGCTGATATTAGTACGGTTAGGTTAGGATTTTGTATTAATTGATTATATTAATCCACCATAGGTTAGGTTATAACAACTCATAAAAAAAAAAAATTACAAACAAAAAAACTCTCCTAACCTGTTAGTATTTAATATTTTTAATATAATAATTTAATTTGCGATAAATTGTGTCGATTATAACCTATAATATTTGATTCGATAGTGCATGACAAATAATATAAATTACATTTTTTTTCTTAGCATTCCTATACGTAGGTACTTATATAGAATGACGTGCACATATTTAATAAACCAAAAATAAAAATATATTGACCGTTTATATGACGTATTACATATATATTTTATGTAGCAAATAGTATATATTAATATAAATTAAAACAAAAATATTGTTTAATGCATTTAACGGGTTGAGCGCCATGTGAATTTTTGTAGTTTTTCCAATGTTACTGCTTGACAAAAATGTCAAATATTGGTGAATTTCCGTATACATTGCCATGAGAAGCACATTTGCAGGGTCCCACTAATATTATAGTTTTATTAAATGATACCCAATATTAGTTCTCATTTATCGGTTTTTTATATCATTACATTTATGATTTTCATATTATGCATTATATTTTGATACTAATAGGCAATAGTTCATACCTTATTATATTATTATTTCTAAGTCATATATAATTATATAATCACAAAACATCAGAAATATATTTAATTTTATATACCATGGCAATAGAAAATTATAAAATCATTGTAGGCAGTCATCAAACTCTAGTTGAGATCCAAAACTGAATGTCATTTGGCGCTCTACTAATTTAAAATTTAAAATAGATAGGTATAGGTACATTAGTGACATTAATGACATTTCAACAAAATAATTTGATTTTAAAATTGTTATAAATATATATCAAAAAATTTAACACAAATTACAGTAATTATTACAACTTTTTCTTTAAACCACAGTAGTTGTATTCTATAATTTAAAACGGTGAGTTCCTTTGCCAACCTATATATAAACGTTCAATATTTAACAACTACACCGCCGACCGCGCGTTAAAGTCACCGAGTCACACGCTCCGCGTTCTGTCAATATGTACTTATCCGACACTCGCGAAATCGCAAAAGTTTAAAATATTATTTTATTATATCGTGCATATATATAATATGAAGTGCAACGTTATTTATGTCTGCCAATACACGTGTAACGGGTATGAATATTATAATGTCGAACGTAGATGTATTTTAAGCGTCATTCCGCGGCGCCCGTCCAATCGCGGGCGTACCTATATAATATGTATTTATTTACACGTTTGTTTGCACAAGGGATGTGTATAAAAACCCCACTACCTACCTACTATGTATGATAATAATAATATGACGTTCGGTCCTCCGTCGCGCAATAAGTCCCCGCGGAAGACATTTGGCCCAGAGTACTGGCTCTACTAGGTACGATGGGCAGAATATAATAAGGGCGATCGCAGTGATGTATACAGCAATTACACGTAGCTGCAGGTATATACACCGGGGTCGAGGGCGCACGCTTGTTTTACCATTTACCTCGCACCGTACACAGCACAGCTTATAATTTTATTTATATATTGTATAATATACTCGTCCACATAAAACATATCATTACTGAGGCCGAGCCTAATACAATTAATTTTCCGGCGTACGTCGTATATAATATTATTATTATATTCTACTCGCGTCTTCGTCATGCAATAATAATAATAATAATAATAACAATATTGTCGGCTGGAATCGGTTCACACGTTTCACGTCGTTAATATTATCGTTATATACCGGTAACGTATACGAGTATATTACATAATGTGACTCGTATTAACAACATTGGATATTCACTCGATTTTTATGTGGCGATTTCCATATTTTGTTGTAATTCAAAAACGAATTACTGTAGATACATGAAAATTTCACTGAATGTTTATATTAGAATTTCCTATACACCATACAATTTTGAAAATATTTTGACTCTTTTTGAGCCGTTTACGGACATTTTCAGTTTTCAATTTTTTTAGTTTTTTTTTCTATAAATATCAATAAAGTTTTATCAGTTGGGCCAAAAAGTGTAAAAATGTAATACAAGCTGGCTCCTGATATATTGTTACAATATCAGTTGAAAAATATTAAAAATACATAGGCACAATTTTTTTTATAAGCATTTAAATATCGAATTTTGACAGAATTTTTCAAAATCTCGAAAATTATTAATCATCGTAATTAATAAATTATAAAATGTTCAGTTTTTATAGCTAAGGATTGAAAATTTAAAACAAGATTCCAAGTAAGTAGTTAATTCTCTTACCGGAAAATCTAATAAATATACAATCACAGTTATTTTTTACAGACATTTTAAATTCAAATTTGGACGAAATTACATGTTAAAAAAACCTAGAATATCTATTTTAGTTATTTTGTTGTGATTGAATAATATTATGTGGAGGTACTTGAAACTTCTAAAGTGTACTATTTTATATCTATGATAGTATCACGGTTTTCATTGATGTATAACGCGTTATAAGTACCTAATGGATATTGTGATATGATTATTTTGGAATTTATTATAGGTACCTATTATAGGTCAAATTTTGGTTTAGTACCAATAGTACCATAGATATGTATATAATATGTCTTATACCTAGACTGACATACCGTCTCCTCTCAGAATCGTTTTTCTTATACAATGATATTATATCGTTGAATTCAAATTTAATATCACCCATTATACAGTGATCCACTTGTAACCTACTGTACAGCAGATCGACATCCACTTGTACACCTTTTTTAGTTTTCTTTGGTTCAAAAAGATGTGACTGAGCAACTCACTTGTTTACGACGTGTTCCTATTTCACCTGAAGAAAGGCTGACAGTTACATTAAGGTAAAAAAAAAAAAAAAAAAAAAAACAATAAACATAATTAATTAAAAAATTTAATATTTATTATTACTTTAAATTGTAAAATATCAATATTAATACTTTTAACAACCTATTTAAAAAAAATTAGTTAGTATTATGTTGAGGTGTTGGAATGGAACTAAAGTGAGTTACATTATAAACTGGTGGTGGAGTAGAAACAGAATTACTTGCTGATGGGTACTCAATAATGGAACTAGGGTTTAAATTTTGTGAGTAGGAATAGGAAAGACCTGTATATGGCTGACCATGTGATGGTGGTGCTTGAAAATGTTTGTGATAACTATAGAAGCTGAGAATTGTTGAGAATGGGTTCTTTTAAAATGTTGTATTGTGTTTAGTATATCAATATATAACTGTGGCTTGTGGTTTTGATCTACTGTTTTAAATTCTGGTAAAAGGGATAAAAGAAAAGATTTATCAGAATCATCGGGTTCACTTTTTAGGTTATTTAAAAGTGAAAGAATCTTAGTTTCAAATTGTTGCTCCGGATCTTGGGTTTTTTCTTTCTTGCGGCGTTTGATATCTTGTCTCCTTTTAATTTTTTCTTTATTATCAAAAATATCTTCAACAGAGATATCTTTCCCGACTACCATGCCATACCCTTCATCACTGTTAACACTTTTATCATACTTATCTACCGTTGTTCCAAATTGATTGTACTTCATAAATACTATTTATTAATTGTTCTGTATCCATGATTCATAAATGTTGTGCTCAACTCACACTGCACATGCACAACACGAATCGAAGGCGAATACTGGACAAATGCAGGAAATCGCAGCGATTAATCGCTGGCCGAGCGCTGTGTGTGTATAATAACATGGTTATCCCGTAAGTTAATTTTAGAAATCAGTCACGACAAATCGCTCAAAATTAAGCAATCGGTCGCGTTTAGTCACGAGCGTGTGAATGTACTGATATAAATACACGCATTTTATTTTGAGCGATTAATGGCCGCGTTTTTGAAGCTCAGTACGCGATAATCGCCTAGTGTGTAAGCCACTTGAGGCGTCGCCACGCTACAGTCGGCCTCACTCCCGTACCGCGCCATTAGATGTTTCACATCATAAAAAATATTACCTTTTTTTTTCTTTTTATCAGCGACGTGGCAAAGGGGGTAAACAGTATTTTAAGAGGTGGTGGTAGTTGGTTTTTGGCTACTAAGTAGTTTAATAGTGTACTCTATCTGCAGTTGATTTTCGAATATTATAAAATCTTGTCTAAAACTAAGAAAAAAATGCAGTGTGTACATAATATATTATTAGGCCACTATGCCAGGGTACCTACAACCTACTGCATATTTTCTTAGTTATTCGATTTTAATTTCCACAAACTGCGTATTTACTTAATTTTATAGCTACAATGACATCCAGTATAGACCTTCATGAAAATGTCTTGGTGTCTATCATAATTGACTTTACATTACAATAATTTTATACAATTTAATTATGTAATTGTTGTGACAATCTAAGATTTTTGAAAACAATTTTACAAAAAGCACAAAATTCAAATTAAATGGAGATACTCTATTTGTAAAGTTAAACTATTTTGCCACACTAATGTAAAATTCAGTAAGTACCTATACCATCTTTTAAAAAATCCGGCCAAGTGCAAGTCGGACTCGCGCACGTAGGGTTCCGTACTATCATCGGCTATAAACATGTTGGCAAGTGGCAACACTGCTTATATAATAATATATTCTAGTATTTTTAGTATTTTTTATTTGTTATAGCGGCAACAGAAATACATAATCTGTGAAAATTTCAACTTTCTAACTTTCATGGTTCATTAGGTACAGCCTGGGGACGGACGGACAGCGGGACCATAGTAGTTGGGCCCCGTTGTACTGTACGGAACCCTAAAAATCAATAATTATGCCAATTTTCATAAAATTGAAAAAAATGTTAAGAAATATGAAACTTAAAAGTCAAAAACTAAGAAATCAAAAAACTAATTTATCTCTTTTGGAAAGCAGTATATAGATGTACAATTGACAGCTGTATAATTTTCAAAGAAAATTCAAATTCATATATTATCATTGTATATAGCATTGTACCGATTAGGTATAGCTCATAAATACATACATACCTACGAAATAAGTAATAACATAATAAAAATAGTATTTAAGTACCTAGTCTGCAGTATATTATATACCATATATACTATAATATAGTATATATTATATACCTAATCATAATTTTTATTGATAATATATTAATATACTTACTATATATTGACAATGAAAATACAATTTTATTGTCACGCAATTTTAATGTGTTCCTATAAACTCGTATTTATAACACCTTGTAAAAAAAAATAATGTGGCCAACTATTGGGCCATTATATAGGTATACATACCGATAATAATATACTGGTATACATTTACTTATATACATACATTTTAGATTCTGTACAGAGTGAGGGATCTACTGGTTTTACAATGGTGTTTATTTTATTTTTTTATCATGTAAACAAAATGTCTACCAGAACGAGTGCTTCGATTTCAACATATAAATATTTCATCTTATCTTTGAGCAAATTGGATCAAGATGGTACTTTAAAGAGGTAATTTTTCGATTTTGTCAATAGTCTGAAACGGTGCGTCCGATTGGACGACCCGCGTCGTAAATAAAGAACAACGATTGTACTTTTGGTAATCAATTCTGTCTATTGCTATGTAAATTAATTATTATATTCACAATATTGGGACGAGTAAAGCGTCGATGTGTGCCGACCAGACTTAACTAAGTGGGTCGGCACGATCGGTGATGCTTGGGTACTGGTCGGGCAACTGCCGGACCCTATCTTTACAATGGGCTATGATTTATAATATATATATATTTACAATAAAAAATGGTTGGCCGGGGAGGCGGCCGTCGTCGGTGCAAACTTAGTTAAGCGGCACCCCGACGACGAACCAGACTCGATCGGACAACTTAAATAAGTGCCGAGGTAAGGTGTATGTTGGCCCTGAAAAGGGCCTTTTGATGTTGCAGCGCCGTGAGTTGTCGGCTTGTCCAATGGTCCTGCAGACCCGGGTGTATGGACGGCGGTTGCTGATTGGCCGGCGTTGTCACTGCACGAATCTGTTGACACAGGTCTTATGCCGTGGGACGGAAGCCACGTGATTTGACTGGCACTGACAGTGTCGGAGGCGTTGGTCGGTGGTTTGTACCGGTCTCACGTCCAGGAGCGGTGAGGTCGTCGGTATTTGCCGGCCGAGTAATGCTTGCTGTCGAGATCGGCGTATCGTCGGTCGTCGGACGTACTGGCAGCTGGGATGCGGCGTGTTCGTCTGTCGGTGGTCGGCGACTAAACGACACTTGTTGTCGTGTAGCGGCGTTGTCGTCGGTCTTCTCCGGTGGGGTGACGCTTGCTGCCGTTGAGCGGTGTGGTCGTCGATGTTCGTCGGCTGGGTGCTTCTTGCGACCGTGGAGCGGTAATATCGTCAATCGTCGGCGGCTTGTTTATTTGGTCCTGGTCCTGCTTCTATCGGGACGTTCTTGATAGATGTTGATAGTTGGAAGGTATGGAATGGACTGGCTAAGTTTTTTTTTTGCTTTGCTTTGTAGGACGGCCTTTGGGCCTATATGCCAGTGTCAGGCGTGAGCCTATGACTGGCGGGATTGTTTTGGTTTATTGATATATGTTACTATGAATGTGCCCAATCAAGATGGCGAGTTTTGTTTATCGATAGGAGTGGGTTAGCTCTTGTGCGACCTAGATCACGGATGTGTGGGTGGGGAGATGTAAGATTTTTGTGGAACATTATTTTGCTGTTTATCTTGATTTTGTCTTCGATGGTGACTGACTAAGTTATCGAAATCGTCCGGTATATATACCCTTTTTGATAACTTAGTCAGTCGCTGATTGACCCGCGCATTTGGTTATGGCAGTTGAACACCACACCATCGTATTGCCGTTTGCATTTACTTGGTGCGGTTTTCATCTGTCAAACCGTTCAGTTTTAACCTGTCATTTTGTTCTATTGTTGTTGGCTTTGAAAAAAGCCCTTTTATATTTTGTTTAATCCGTAACAAGTCATTTAATGTCACGGGGAAAATCTCTTACATATTGGTACCTACTATATATCAAATAAATGATGTTTCTTTAAGTAATAAATAAATGTCATCTCTCTCGTATTATGACTGGCATTATTGTTTGTTGAAAAAACATTGACAGCCATTTCACCCACACTTACAATTTCGGAAATATTATCCGACAGTGATTGCTTATAATTAGGGAACTATTGAAATACCACGTGCCGAGGAATTAAACGATCGCGTCATAGCGTCGCAGGTTTTTTTCGTACCTACAAATTAACTGAATTAACCAAACCACCCAAGTACAGGAATTTTGGACCGTGCTCAACATGGTTATATTATAGCACAAAGCCAATAAGTCTTGGATTCATATTCATAGTAAGAATGGTCAAGTACCACCCACCACCAATAATATTAAGAGTATTGTAGGGTTATGCATATTATGTGCTATGTCTGATAGGTACCTAACAATATAATATGTTATTATAATAAAGACAAACATTTATTTGGAGAGCTTACACAACATTATAATTTGACTCTTGAAATTTGAGTCATTATAGAAATATACCTAAATAGGTAGGTACATGATTCATACGGAGTCTGTATACTATTTTATGGCTTACTATTTAGTATTTATAGTACCTAAATATGGTTATAACTTATAAATGTATATCTTATGTGGGTACCTGTATTAAACCTAACTAAGGAATAAATTACAAATAAAAATGAGTAAGAAAGTAATGATTTTTACATACTGTTAAAGATAAATATTTAATGTACCTACTTAGCAACTTAGTAGTAACTTTTAATAGATGTATA